AAGGGTGATAACCGCCCTCCGGCAACTCAGAGGCACCCTGCCCTCTAACAAACTGACACCGAGTACCTCAAGTAGATCCTCTCCCAGCTCCGACCAAAAAGCCTTATAGAAGTCAACTGGGAGGCCATCCACTCCTGGTGCCCTCCCAGACTCCATGCTTTGCAGGGCCTTGAAAAGCTCTCCCAGGGTCAACACTCCTGAAAGATCCACATTAGCCTCCTCTGAGACTTTAGGTAAGTTGTCAAAGAAGACACTTTCCACACAACGCCCTGAATCGAGCTCACTTCTATACAGGTTTTGATAAAAAAGAACTGCTCTCCTCCGAATGTCATCAGAATCAGACAACAAAAAAACATTTTCAGAGCGCAGCGCATAAATAAAACGCCTTTGCCCATTCTTTTTTTCCATGCTGAAAAAGTACTTGGATGGTGCATCCATCTGATCTATGCTTTGAAAGCGTGAACGGACCAGAGCCCCCTGCGTTTTATACTCCAGTAGATCTGCTAACTGTGCTTTCTTCTTAGAGCAGGCTTCCATATGTCGAATTTCACCAGAAGAATGAGCCAATTTCTGAGATTCAAGTATCTCTTATTCCAAAAGTTCTAAGGACCGAGCCAACTCTTTAGTGACGTTGTGAGTGTACTGTTGCGTAAACTGCTTTATCTGGATCTTACCAAAGTCCCACCACTGTTGTAATGAATAAAAAGAACACTTCATTGTTTTGTACACTTCCCAAAAGGACTTGAATGATTCCTTAAAAAAATTATAATTTAACAGCTTAGTGTTAAATATGCACTTTTGGGTTTAATTGAGCTTAGAATAACATTACAATGCACCATACTGTGATCTGAAAAACTTACTGGTGTAATATAACACCTAATAAAAATGTTGAGATGAAAATTAAAGCTATAAAATCTATCCAGTCTGGCCAAAGATATAACATTATCACGTTTGTGAACCCAAGTGTACTGCCTTTCACTGCCATTTAAAGACCTCCAAATATCACATAATTCATATTTTTTAATCATATGAATAAGACGGTTACGTGAAGCTAAATGAGGCTCAATATGATTCCTATCTAAATTGAGCTCAGTACAATTGAAATCACCACCTAGAAACAAAAACTCTTCAGGGCAACAGTTTTGTAAGGTCGAACACAGTGTGTCTAAAAAATCTAATCTTTCAACTGGTACAGTTGGAACATACACACATAAAAATAAACACATAATTTTCAAAAACGGCTCGAACTTTTAAGAGCCTACCTTTAACAATTTCATCAACTATGTAAGAAACAGGACTAAAGTTCTTTGCAAATAAAATGGCCACTCCCCCACTGACTGAAGTATTATGACTTAGCACAGCAGTGCCATCAAACTCCCTCACCCAGTCAACAGCATTTTTCACATCACTGTGGGTTTCTTGTAAAAAAGCAACATCAATATTTTTCTGTTTAATTACTTCATATATAGTTGCTCTTTTTCTAACATCTCTTGCACCATTGACATTCAAAGTGGCTAAATGCACTTCACTCATAACTAATAGAAAGTGAAAAAAACAATTTGAGAGAGGTGGGGCATAGAGGACCTACAATAATGTACAGTATTTGAAAAATAATGTGTTTTTTGAACATTAAAGCATGTCAACATATTCTGTTACACCAAATACACAAAATAATGATCTTTAAAAAAGCATCATATGACCCCTTTAATACTTTATTGCACATTTTTATTTTAACTCTAAATGCCACTGCTCATATGTCACTATTGTTCTGTGAAGCACAGCTCCCCTCGGGCCCGATTCCTTTTTTTTTTTTTTTTTTAGGGAACCGTAAACTGGTTTTGGGTTTAAAAATAATGCAACTATCTCACATGAAACCAGCTGGTGATCTCAAAACTAACAGATTATTTACTTTGCGAGGAAAATACACCTCATAAACTCATGAATTCTTAACACATCTGTTTCAGCAACCTTAATTTGTCTTCTTCTATCAGATTTTGCCCTGCATAGATGGTCTTTTGTTACACGGACATTCACAGATTGGCCATCTCCTTTTGCAGTTTTCAGCTTCACAAACCTCCTCCATCACAGGTAATTCAGAGTGCATGCATCACGTTGCAATCACGTTTTTTCACATTTTTTCCAGGGTCACTTGACGACATGGTGATATGAAAGTCATGTTATCTCATCATAGTTCATTTTCAAAAACCTCATGCTAATAGAGTGTGTGTGTGTGTGTGTGTGTGTGTGTGTGTGTGTATATATATATATCTATATATATATATATATTTTTTTTTTTATTATTATTACAAAAAATTATTTATTTATACAAAACTATTCATGTTTTGCAATTAATTTAAAGCAGATTTTACTAATGCAGCCTCTGTCTACGTTAAAATAATGTTTTTTAATATTTAGTAAATAAATAATCAAGTAGTAAATGTAATATATATACATATATATATATATATACACACATATACATATACATACATACAGTGTACAGCATAAATGAGTACACCCCCTCTGAATAAATATAAAAGATCTATTTTCTTAATGATCACTAATATAATGAATATAATTCATGGAAAGATGGCAAAATGGAAACATATTAAACATATACTTGAAATTGCTGAATTTGTTAAGTTTTAGAGGGGGTGTACTCATTTATGCTGTGCACTGTATATATATGAAGAGTTAATTTGCTAAAACAGATAGCTCCGTTTTTAACAATTTTCAAAAATCATGTTTTTTTTTGTGCATTCCAATTAATCTCAATCAAACTGCAGTTGGGTTATTTTGATTTGGTTAAAAAATAACTAAAAAAATACTGCTAACTAACACAAAACACAAAAAAACTTAACATAATAAAAAAAACATGATTTTTCAAATTTAAGTGTATATTTAAGTTTTTAAATATACACTAGACTTCTTTAAAAAAAAAACTGTTCAAAAACTGCATTTATTTGATCCAAAGTACAGCAAAATAACAGCATACAATAACTCTTTTCTATTTTAATGTTTTAAAATGTTACTAATTCCTGTGATTTCAAAGCTGAATTTTTAGCATCATTACTCCAGTCACATGATCCTTCAGAAATCATTCTAATATTCTGATTTGCTGCTCAAAAAAACATTAATAATAATAATAATAATTAAAAAGGTTTCTTGAGCAGCAAATCAGCATATTAGAATGATTTCTGAAGGATCATGTGACACTGAAGACTGG